ACAAAAATGATACATGAGCATACAATACGAACAGGCTAACGTCTGTTCGTTTTTCCGGCTTTCCGTTTGCCAGCGAAAAGATGTTTTGGCTGAGGAAGTGATTAACAACAAAGTGAAGATGTGTTCATGATCACAAACCATTTTAGTTTGGATAACACGATCAGCCTCTCCAGCTTTAGCCAGCCGGTTGCGCTCACGCTGTCCGAGGTTCCGTAGCTTGACGGCTTTGGAGGCTTGCTAAATAAAGAACATCAGAGAGTTATTCGTCCAGATAAAGATAAAACAAACCTGCTGATCACGCATACCAGCAAGTTGGCGATTTGATTTCGGGGCTCGTGGGTGCTTGGCGATAACGGAACCCGAGTTACTCTTTACTCGCTTATTCGGCGTCTGCTCCTCGCCATCAACATCCATCCAGTCACCTTCTTCACCCTCACTTGCGTCACCGTCACCATCCTCCATATCAACATCCATGTCTTCAGCACGTTTCCGCTTGGCGCCTTGAGCTTTGGCTATTATCCCAGCTCTCGCCTCTATGCTGCTTGGATCATAACCTGCTTTCTTGAGTTCAGTAGTGAGTTCAGACAGCGTGCGAAGGCCCGCTGTGCGTGGCAAGCGTGACTGGTTCTTCATGGCTTTTTTGACGTTCTGTGAATGTATTTTGTGCCCAAGAGCTTTTTTGGCTTCGACTGCTTCACGTTCGTCTTCGGAGTCAAAGATATCCTCGTCGCTGTCGTAAAAGCCCTCGGCCTCGAGTTTCTCTTCCTCACGCTCAAGGGCCTCGAGTTTTTCGGCGATATCGGGGTCGATGAAGTCAGCAACGTTTTTGCCGTTCATGATTTCAGGCATAATGTCCATCTTCCACTCAGGATTTGCAAGAATGTAATCCTCTGTATGACGCGTCAGGAGGTACATGAGATATACGGGGAGGAGCTTACGCTTAATATTGATGTTGAAAACACCAGGACCACCCTCTTCTAACTCCGTGTCTCGCAAAAGTTTCTTCCTGTCGGGGTCATCCCTATCGTACTTCTTTCGCTCTTTGATAACGTCCGGTATGAACGGCGCACGGACAACGTCGTCCCGAGCTTTCGGCTGTGCCACATGTATACGGTTGATCACAGAGTTAATTTTGGTGCCCTTGAGTTTCGAGTCGACGCGGTGTGCTAGGAGGGCGTCGCATGCCTTGTTCTTGAGATCCATGACCCCCTCATCAGAATAACATGACACCTGGATGCATTGGACATCCTCAGTGTCAATAATTTCTTGGACAAGGGCGCGATTCTCGGGCGTAAGATCCTCAAGGCGAGTCACGTCGATTTTGTTGATGACAAGCATCGTCGGCTTGCCATTAAATAGAGGCTTGATAGAGTGGAACAGTTTACACTGCGGATAAAAATTGGCACGTGGTCCAGACGCAAAATGTATGTTGCAATACGCACTTGAGCTTCCACAGTGTAACCACACTGTTCACTTAGGTCCATAAAATACAACACGCAGCTCTTGAGGTGTGCAAGAGCCGTAATACTCTGCATTTCAATCGTGTTCATCTCCTCCAGCGGGTGATCTAAAATCCCAGGGGTATCGATTACTTGCCACCTCAGGTACTTGTAATCTAGATGGCCAATAAAGAGGGACTTGGTTGTAAAAGCATATGGCTGGACGTCAACGTCCGCGCGTGTGACCTTGTTGATAAATGACGACTTCCCAACATTTGGGTAGCCGCAAATGAGTAGGGTCCGGGTGTTAGGGTCGATGGCGGGAAGACGGGAAATGTGTTGGCGAACTTGCTCGAGGTAGGCAAGGGGATCCTTCTGTCTACGCATGATAGTGGCCATACGACCCAGCGCTGCCCTTTTAAGTTGCTTGCAGCGGTATAAACTGTCGCCGAATTTAAGAAGCCGGACGTAATCTTTGGCAACCTGGTCAATGAGATGTCGACAAGTGCGAAGTTGGCCTAGAGCAAGTTTGTAGTGATTTTTGTCATACAATACATTCATGAGTGACGCCAGGAAAGGGTGCAAGTCCTGCCTCAGGTTTGTGAGTTTTGACTCTCCCAGAAGAGTATGATCAAACTCACGTCGAGGAGAGGGAACTCTGACAATATGGCTCCCAGTTTTTCATCGAAAGTGTCTTGCGTGAACTTGACTTTGCGCATGTAAAAATTACGGATGCGGCTGATCTTGAAGTTTTTGTGGATTACCTGGAGCATTAAGATGATTAGATTGCTCTAGATGATATCCTCAAATGACTCACTGTAGGTGTCTTCCGCTGAGTCTTGGACAAGACGATGTCCAAGAAATCTGCCGCGGTGGGCACAGGGGCAATCGCCTTCAGCCCGCTAGTCGACATTTTGGAGGTGTAGGGCTATGAAAATGAGTATTTTGACCAAGTCGGTGATCCTGAGGCTAGCCAAAGTTTTTGTATATTCCCACGGTCCTCATGTACCTAGTAAGTACTGTCACTTTGTAAGTGAACTCGGTATCTGCTATCGCGGATCGGGCGCATGATTAATTAGTGGTTGGTAGCACTCTGTAGATCATCTTGCCAACCGTTTTTTGCCATAGTTTAAGTTATGCAGAAATTTTACTTGTGCTTCGGCAAGGAACCGACAACCACATACTAATAGAAGGACTTGATGTACTTATACTATAGTCACATGATATGTGAGTTCTCCCGCTTCGCAGAGCTTCACTCTTTGTGACAATGCGATCCGGAAATCCAAATTACTCCACTTCGCCATTTGCATCAATTTAAAGAACAATTGTTTCGTCCTGTGAACTGCCTGACTTCTGCCAGCTGCGCCTGCCGCGGACGTGACACGGCTGTTGCACTACCAGCTTCACTAGATTGATCTTTGTACTCAGTTTGCACTTCTGGTTAGCTTCGCTTATTGAGACGTAAGCTGACCCAAGGCCGTGTCACTGACGAGGCCTTGGTAAGGCTTACGCGGATCGCTTCTTGGCTTAGTACCAAGCGGCACCCTGACAAGGCCCAAGAAACCAACACCCACCAGGCACCCTTGGCACTACTAGTCCTAAGGCGACTCTGTCTTACTCGCCTTTTATATCACCGTCACAACTCTCTTCTCCCTAGATCCAATCGTTACACTGGACTCATCACCTGTGGGACAAGCTCTTGGAGATATGTTGGTTGAGTTCTGATGACATCCCAACCCGTGTGTCCTCCATCAGTGAACTGATGAACAAATTGAAATATTATATTAGACTATGTATTGGTAATAATCACTGCAATCTACGTAAATGTGGAGGGGGGGTTTACACGACCTTACTAAGGAAGGATGAATGAGCAAAGTAGTTACTCATGTCGTCCTAAGCTCGATGTACCGTCTTTTACTTTGGATGCCATACAAAGACACGATGTAGCCCAAGCCAACGAAGTGAAATGCATGTCTATAAATATCAAGACAAACCCAACAGTCACTACCGAGTATGCATGCTAGGTCATTTCATCACGCACTAATTGGTAAAATGGTACGCCTGGTGCGGAAGCTGGAACATTTTATATTCCTTAGAAATTTCTTCTGTTGACTTTTAGTTGTTTAACACAAAACGTGAGGGTCGATTTTGACAACATGCTCGCTTGGTACAGCACAAAGCACTTCATTCCTACTTGGTAGACACTTACCTATGCTAACTGAATTGTCCATCGCGTGCTTCAATTGAAGTTCTGCGTCAACGTCACATCAAACACATCATCAAAGTGTCGTGTCGACAACGTGCTTCGGGCACTGCAAGGAAGACTGCGGGCACTGCATGGCACTTGCAGTGGTGCCTAATTTTGCTTGTAGTGTGGAAGTTTCAGAATTAGTGTGAGAGTGAATCTTGGTAAGCCGGTGGTCTAGACTGAGGGATCAAACCAGATATTGCCAGACTGCCATATCGAAGAAGATATTGTAATGCTGCTCAATCCCCCGCTGAACATTACGAAATTCAGATGTCGCTCAGCGAAAAAGTGATCCGCAAACTCTAACACGACAGGTGCGTTCGATGGGCAAAGGAGCTGTGTTAGCTATTGGCACATCAAAATACACATTTGTCCATAGGACAATCGTCCAAGAAAATACATCAATTGAATATATGCAATCTGGTCATCAACTTTAGTAATTTAGTCAAGAGACTAGTGGCAGAGCAGATCACACAAACAAAATACTATCAGTACAAATCTCGGATATTCCGGCACCCCGTCCGGAAAACATATTCAATGCGCCACCTTGACGCTAATGCTCACTTTGTGTTGAAGGCGCACGGTTCTGGTATTGGTTTTACGCAGCAAGTTGGTTTATTTTGATTGGCCTTGGCAAGGACAAATACTGACAACAACAATTATGCCTCTGTGCCGCTGACGCTCTAGATACAACAAATGAGATGCATAATTATCATTTGCTGCTTGGAACCTGAATAGCTGATTGATAGATTTGCGAAGAGATAGTGACGTACATTTGGTAGTTTATTCAGCGAGAAATTATGAGCCTTCGCTCAGATTGCAGTATCTTCCAAGAGTTGCATATTTTCGTCACGAAACAGATTGTTTTCCAGAATAGTGATTTTGTTGGTCGAATTTACTATCCGCTCACTCGCATGTTGATGTGTGATCTTTGTTAAAGTTTCATTACCTACCCAATTCACCTCTCGTGTTGGGATTCTCGATTGATGCTCTGTAGTAGGGAGACTGTAGTTAACTTCGTCCTCTAGGAGTATTATAATCAAACAACTGTCCATAGTTGATGCCACGCATAAGGAACTTATCAGCAGTTATCGCAGTCGTAAATGCAATGTTTACATTCCCAGCGTTTCTACGTTTTGGTAGGATCGGAAGACGCGTTAAAATTTGCAGCAATTGGCATACCGAGTGCTGTATACAACCATCACTGAAATGGATCCTGGTCCAAAAAGATTTCCAATGCATATATTAATGGATCATTGCAGCATTACAATTAGATCAAACAAATTATTGTAGACTACACAGCTAAATGCCTCTTATTCCGAATCATAAGCAGCATCCTCCAGCGCCCTTCTCTGGTCTGCTAATGCTGTGACAGACATCTGTGACACTACCTCTGGTGTCAGGTCTTCACGATGGTTTCTTCCAAAAATTTTCCTAAATGGTAGAGTTAGATGTGCGGTACGTAAGGTATAAATCATTGTGCGTTACCTGGTCCACCACTCCAGAAGTTGGGTCACCCTACGTCTTGTGACCGGGCCAGGGACGTCTTCAAAAAAGTCGACGATGTTGTTCCAGAACATCTCGTAGTCGAAATCACCGTCCACGGTGCGCCAAGATGTAACACCGGATAGAGCGAAGCGAACCTGCCAAATGTTGTGTATCAGGTATCTACCATAGGGTAATCACTATACTCACTTGACAGACGATGTAAGCGATGGCGCGAGGTGTGACTTTCCTCATGTTAATAATTGAAGCAACACACATTTTAACCTTGGCTTGACTTAATGCCCGCTGGGCGCGCCTGTTGTTCTCGAGGATGTCGGCTCCATCGCCATCACCATCAGCTTCTCTTGCGGAAGATGGAGACGTGAACGTGGCTTTGAAAGCCTGGCAACATAACAACTTTGAGTGAACATTTATGACAGCAACACCAGGCTACTAACCTGAACTAGGATCCTGGACCTGAAAAGACCTTGTTCGAGGTTGTTAGGGTTGACTGAATAGTTCTCGTATATGAACAGTGGCCAAGAGTTTTCGGATACAATATAATCTGAAGTTCTGTCACGAATGCCAGCCTTCACGCTGCCCAGCCATCCGCGTCAGCATCATATTGATGGACAAAGGTTGATACTCACATATCATTGCCCCAGTCCCACTCCGCAGGGCAGAGTAACATCCCAGAAACGTCATGTGTGAAGCCGCGCGACTGCTTCTCGTCAGACTTAAGTAGACGGGAGGGTCGAAAATCTTGATTAACCCAGGTAGCGACAAGGTCCTTGAGAGTAGAGGTGTCGTCACCACGGGCCGCATCCGCACCTTTTTTGAGCTAAAACACTATCAGTATTTGTGCGAAGAGCCTTAAGGTTGAGAGCGCGCACCTTTTTCAGCATGTCTTCAGTGTCATCAATATCGAGTTCTGCAAGCTTTTCATGCAGCCACGGCAGGATCTGCGAGAGTGCGATGTAGCCATGCTGCAAGCGATCCTGTCTGAATGACTTCATTAAACATATTATGGAACGAATAGCAACGACCTACTCTGGGGTGCTGGGCTCCAACTGCTCCTCGTACCTGCGATCGTTCTCGGCGATCAAGTCCTCTAGGCTGGTGTATAGGACAACCATCCGACGAATGGCCCTGCCTTGAGCAATGTAGTAGGTCGTTTTCCTTGAACGATCGATGAGCAAAAGGCAGTGAGCGAAATGTTATATGAGCACGTCGAACCTTTGCTTCGTTCCTCGTTCTTGTTTCATCATGTGGAGTTCCTCTTCCAATGCAGCAATGCGACGCTTGGCCCTTGCCTCTGTGGAGGTAGGGACCGCTCCAGACTGATCTGGCAATGCGAGAGCATATGAATGACGGTGGTCTTGAGGCTCTTGCGTACTAGACATGGCAGAAATGATGAGTGTTAAGGCGCGGTGAAATAGTAAGAAAAATGGTAAGGGACGGGTGACAAAATGGTGGAGAGAAATAGAGAAAAGAAACAAACACGACGAACCTATTTGTACCGATCCTCGCTAAATATCGAGACATATTGGGCAGTGCCTAATGAGGATATCCAACAGCCGATCGGTGTTTCACCCCTCAAAATATGGCGCCATTAGTAATGGTACTACTAGTAGGTTACTGGAGACTCACCGACAGATGACTCCGTCATTGAGAACACATCTGCCATCCTAACATATCGTTGTCTACAGCTGTATGTTTGACAAGTGCGAGAGTAAGCAGTTTCAGAATATGATACCATGGGAGTCGCAGAAAGAGGTGTGCAACCTTGAAGTGCCTTGCCGGGTTGAGAGTCGTCTACATGAAATTATCGTCTGGGAATCAAGAATATGGGCGTGGTGTGTGACGTTCGTCAATGGCAACACCGTGAAGCGTCGTGATCAGGCGGCCAAGAATGAATTCGAAGGTCTCATCCTCCATCTGACGGGTCAACAGCTGAACAAACTCAGGACGTAGAATAATAAGGTGAGAATAGCGCCACATTGGATATATAAGCTTTTGCCTTGAGCATGGAGAGACGCGAAGACGAAGTGGCCTTGGAATACCATGAGACCAAGAGCATCGTCGATTAGAATAGTATCGTACCATCAGGGGCAAGACGTGAATAGCATATCTGATCACATATCAGCGGATCTCACAGAAGATTGAAAGACAGAACTTACAAGGGTACAGACTGCAGCAGAATATACCTCCGGGGTCTAAGGCACAGAAATAAGCACGTGTTTGACCATATTCTATGAAATTGTACCTATGGTGACAGATTCCCCATTAAAGCCGCGTCTGGTCCATTCCTCAAAATAGTTTGTAGGATAATGATCGTGCTCTAACGTAACCTGAAGGAAGTTGATACCCTGCAAGCGTTTAGTCACGAAGTACACACTAATGAGGGACACAAACCTTGTACCAGTTGGCGAGTTAGAGTGTGAGGAGATATCCTCATGGAACCAGCCCACGATGCGAAGAAACATCGAATAAGCGCACGGGTGAATATCAAACTTCAGTACAACTGATCAGCACCTTGAAACGTGAGAACACACCTTGTCTCTGAAATGAGATTGTTTGTACCAGTCTGCGAAACGACGAGCGATAGAGTCCTCATGGTGACGTCGCTGCTTTATAGGATGCAACTGAAAGCGGCGTGGCAATGTGAGGGTTGCGCAACTGGTCGCAAAGGACGTCAGTAAATGAATGTATCGAAGCATCATGGCAAATAACCCACCTGCTTCAACAGACTCTATGATCTGATCACTTGTAACGGGTCCGAGCCGAGAGGTACTCTCATTTGTTGACGCTATACGAGTATTGTGGACAAAATAATGAAGACGAATCAATCATATAAGAACAGTTAACAGACAAACATGAGAATCAACCAAAAAGCAACCAGGAAACAGGAGAATGCGATGGTGCACCACCCGGATGCAAGATTGACACGATTGAATATAATATTGAAGCTCCGAAGGTCGCATTTCATCCGTAATGTCGACTGGAGACGAGACGCAAACTGGAACACATCGAAGTTAGTCGCGATCACGTGACAAATGAACATAGTTCGAAGTCAAATTCCGGTAATCAATAGTTAGCTACTTCGTAGAGTCGGGGTCGGGGAACGATGATGCGTATGTAGTACAATGTAAACGTATGATGTGACTGGCTTGAGTAGAGATTCAAAGTATGTAAAAAAGAAGCGTTTAACCAGGCGATTCCGCTAAGTCAACTTTTGAATTTTGAACCTAGAAGAGGGAAGCTTGCCAGACGTGTGAGCACGCTTACGCTCCGAGCCCTCAGCAATCACTTGATTTCCCTCATCTACCTCCTGCGAATCGACGTAAGGGGCATTGTCACTGTCCTCAGTCATGAAAAGCGACTTGTACCACTCGAGATAGCGTTTGTGGGCGGTGATGTCTGAAGCAGACATGAGTCGTTTTGACGCCGCGTTCCAGTCCCAGTCAGATAAGGATGTGATACGTGCTTCCTCAAGAATGGTGAAGTCGAGGTGAGGTTCGATCTGCTTCTGGAAAGCGACGAACGACTCCTTGATCTTGATTAACCCTCGTTCGAGCATCTGCATGACGGCGTTCATGTCTATCATGGGTACCAAAATCTGCATCAGATCCGTTAGATCGATTCGAAAGGTTGAGAACGACGAAAACTTACACCGTAGGCCATGTCCGCAGGATCATCAGAACGGATATCTATCGGAGTCTCATCTTTCCTCACCCACACAAAGTATTCAACTGAAGCGACGTGGCACCAAGTGTGATCGGCCACCATGACGGGCTCACCGAATGAACGTGGCGTGGTGCGAAGATTGATGAATGATTTGAGAGTGAGGGGTTGCGGTTCACTGTCAGTGCCACCATGCAAGGTCTTTGATGCGGTGGAATCTGCAACCGGAGCGGCGTACTTCGTAGCTTCGCGTACTAATACCACAACCACACAGATGACATCCGGATGCGCTGCTATCACGTCTTCCACCTTTCCAAATACATGTTCATCAGTCTCCGTGAGAGCGCACTCCCCATAGAAAGGGATCATCACAACTTCTGTAGGTCCCTCCAAAGCGGTAACGGATATAGTCATATCAGGTGTGACCCATCCGTCTTTGGTATCGAGAGGTCGCGTCATGTGGATCTTGGGGGAGATAATAGCGCGATCATATGGAAAAGCCTTGATGGCATCGCCTATCAAGTCCTTCAAATCGTCGAACAATGTTTCATGGAGAACGGTGGGCATGCTGATGATGAGGATGCGAGTGTTGTAATCGTAAGCTAGCCTGGACAAGTTTAGCATTGCCTGAAACAGTTAGAATCAAACGACTTGCCTGGGCTTGATCGATACTCGGGCCGTTTCGCCCAATATTCGCTCTATTGACTCAAATTCTCGCGCTCTCACACCGTGGAATTCCTGGGATATTTAGTAAGCACACGCATCGTGTTCGAACAACAGGACATACCATGCGATTCTCGTGTAAAGCTGATTTCGTTAAATAATTTAATACCCTCCGCACATCTTCAACCCGATTAGAAAATTGTCAATTAAATACTTCATTCTCATTGAACATACTGGAGGTAGAGTGATCAGAACCAATGGACCGCTGGCAGACATCACGCAATGGGCTGGGATCTGTGAAAGTAGGGATGTGTAACTGAACTGCAACTGGTGTGTTATCTGGTGCCTCCTCTTCCTCAACAAGTGATTTGATGGACTCTAAACCATTTCCAGTACTATCTTGTGGTGATAAACCTGGTGATGTTGCTTTCATGAGATTGGATGTCTTCTGGTTGGCAAGTGTCTGTGGAGCAGAGTTGCTTCTGGTTTCACATTGTCTGCGGGAGCGTTTGGGGCGCTTGGGAGGAAATGAGCTACAGAAGGATTTTTTGTCATGCTGAGCCACTAGGGTAGACATAACTGTTAGATGCTGGATGCTGAATGTTTGAATGTGTGGCGGGCACTGAGAAGTGAGGTCGTGGAAGCTCCGGAAGAGATAACCAAGATTACAAATGATAACGATCATAATCATTGAACAAAAACGGCAAGTGCCGTAAGCATCTCATCTTGATACGCTCAAGCTGAATGTTGAACGTTGAACGTCCATTCTTCAACTTAATCTTCCCGAGTCTTTCCTTGTAAGTTCGGCTGTATTCTGGTGCATGCACTACAGTCTATTCTCGTTCTTCCTGAGCCGTCCATCATGGTATTCTGGCGTTGCATTCAACTTCACGATACCATCTCGGTGTCACCACTGCAGCAATCGTCGAGACAAAACATCAATGTGAGTCAGCATAAGTCCCATTTGACTTTTCCTGATAAAAATTCGCATTTGAAGGAATACACACTTCACGTCCTACTAGTACTCGCACGATCGTCTCTCAATAGTGTTACGAAGAACACTTAACTAGACGAGTGCCGTGATGTTCAGCACTAGGCAGACGGTGGAGCAGATGTACTAGATGTACGAGATATCATACCATCCAAAACCTCTTTTGCATCTTCGCAAATCGACAGGGTGTCGAATAACAATGCAGTTCTGTGACGTGCCACACGCGTTGGATTCGGGAGTGCCGGAAGTCTTTGGGAAGTGTCACTGTAGTAACAACCTGGTTGGTGATCCATAGATCTTCATTTACAAGCGAGGAACGACCTGAAATCTTCCAACCCTCGATCCATCAAGAATCCCGGGGTTGGAGCTCGAGGTCTCGCAACCTCAGGCTGGTATCCCTCGATTTATTGACCAGGAACTTGTATTTCCGCCATTCGAGGCTCTAACCGAGGCTCTATTCGGCAGGTAAGTATCAATGACGCTTCGATTCAGCAGCATCCATCAGGTCAGGGAGCATCGTGTAGTGGAAAGCTCCGAACACGCCCATTAAGATTGGATCGAATGTTCTGCTAGGTCACGGTGACATAAGTACCTCAAGGCATGAACACGCGCTATAATATGTAAGTTTACCCTTACCGTGATATTTAAATACCCTCGCAATTTCGTACTAACAATTGCACTCGGACTTGCTTGCTACTGTCATTGCTCGTACGGCGTACTACTGAGGGAATAGGAAGACATGCCCCCAGGTACGTTTTCCCCCTTTTGATTGACATGAGTCATTATGAACTCGTAACGTCACGGTAGTATGCAATAACAATAACAATTACAATGACTTGGACTTCAAAATGTGGACACCCGCAGGTGCAGCTGCTAAGGCGCAGCGAACTATGAATCGGAAGCAGGCCTATACCCCAGCACCGGACAATGCGTTCTACTACTACCAGCCATCAAAAGTATCTGACCTGCAGCCACCCATCCAATCTTTACCACACTCACTATCATCAAATTCTCCGTCCGTGTTGCCACCTCAACCACTTTTGTTACCTCCTCCGCCACCATCTCCGCCACCATCACTTCCACCACCACCACCTTCAAGTTCTCTTCCATCGCTCGCACCATCGCCATCACTTCCATCAGTGACCGATGCGACAGACGGGTCCCAGTCTGCCGCGGTACTGCCAGGTGCCAGCCTCGAACCTGAGGGTGGGGCAAAGGAGGTTGAGTTAGACAAGTCGGAAGATCCGGAAAAGAGGTTTGACGACATGTGGATCTCTTGCATTCGTTTTGTCAAAGATTAGTACTCCATTGTAGCGTGTCTCGTACAGTAGCTGTTAGGACGCTGACCATAGAGAATGGATGTCAAGAGCATTCTCGGAGTTTGAAAATCGATTCGCCTATCCATATTAGGGATTGCTGGTTATATCCAGAATATATGTAATAGCAAGAGATGGCCTGACTCACATGCCACGCACCCGGCGGGCCTCGTTCTCATTACGCGGCACTTTCTGTTGAGCCCGGTTTTGTTGTCACGCACGAAACCCATCTTTGAGACTTGTCTCAAGTCTCTCCTGCCGTTGTCAGTGCAGTGACTCTTTCATAGCCTCCTATCATTTTTGTTCAGGTTACCTTATCATTCAGTTATTTGATAATTAGTAATGTTTGATGAGATGAAATCTTCAGCAGAAGTTTAAATTTTCTGATGGCACGAAGACTCAGATCAGTGTTCTGGAGCACGCTCTCAGGCTGAATGGGACAAAAGCAGGCTATGCAGCCGCTATACTATGACAAATTACAAAACATGCGGGTTGGCTGCCAAGATCATTTTCAACCGTAATCAAAGCGTATTCTACGTAATGTAAGGACGCGAAATTAGTGTGACCCATGTGCACGAGCTCCACTGGCGCTTCAACAACTTCTTATATATGGAATACAAGCCAGCAACTTGAAGCACATACTTCAAACAGGCACATTGAATATGTTTGTTCGCCGTGTCCTTCGCATGGATAAGAGGACAACTTCCATCTTGAGATACTTCTTCATGTCCCGAGGGGTTATATTTTGCCTCATGTGTGGCACTGATTAGTCGCCAGGAACAGCTTGATAATATCAACCAACTTACCCAGCTGTAGTTCGTACGGAAGCCAACCAATTTTCAATCTGAACTCCTATTAGCGCTACATTAGCACTTGCGTCAGGTCATTCAGTGTCAGACATGACATTACCGAGTTGGTACCGAGAAGAGATTCCAAAGGAAGGCCTCCGCGTTCCGGTCCCTCCTCACGGTAGGGGCCGATGCATGCTCGCCTCTAGAAATAGTTTCCGCCAGGTCACCTCGGGCAAAAACTAGTAGCCAACGTTAGCGACGGGCTGGCTGATCAAGATCGGGGAATTCGGTAGCTGCAACAGGGAAAAGTTAGTGATATGGCAGGTCAGATAGCTGTGGTATGCACTGGCTGCGAACGGGCCACGTAAAGCGGGCGACACCACGGAGGCCCACAGACAGATACATTCGTGCAACTTAAATTCTCGAATCGCCAACTTGAGGTATTCCTGACGAAGAATTAGCTATATTAGTACAGCATTAACAGTATCAACAACATACTCGAATTCCATGAAATGCTGTGAGCCGTGTGTTTAGAAAGGATCTGACTAATACTTTGAAAGGCGATACGTACATATTCATGGTCTACGACCACCACCGATTTCCACTTGATCGCAAGCTAAGTAAGCACCACATCACGTCAGAGACGTATCACGGTCCGTGAATAGTACATACCGATGCTAGTTTGGCGGCCCAAGGTTTTACATCGGCAAGGGGTGGGATATTATGGGCCCCAATGACGAGCATCGGACGCTTGAGTCTGTTGCAGACCGCATGAGCAACCGTCTTTCTGCCCATTCCTGGGGCTCCTTTCAGCAGGACATTCTAAAAATGGTAAAGGTAAACAAGAGTGATGCAGGAATGTCGTTTCAAAACACACCATGCCTTGCCGAACTTTGGAACTCCCAGGAGAACATTTAATGGCATCTAACGTGGACTGGATGAAATCCTGTAACAAACACATTAGCTTGCGAGACAATGATCCCAAAGTCACTCCCGCCCATACCTTAGTCTGTTGGTCCTTGACTAGCTTGCTCCACGCATCTTGATCGTAAGCAGATTTATTGTAATCCTTGAATTTGACCCATGCCTGGACACCAAGGTCAGTTTGAAGATCAGTGAAAACGCGCAACATGCTTACGTGTTTTTCGATGTTATATGCTGCAATCCAGGACAGGGAGTTAGCAAAGACCGCCTCGATTTTTTCCTTTCTAAGTGTGTAGTGGGGAGGAACGAACATATGATACATATCTGATCAAGGTAGATGAGGAAGGTTAGATTTGGGCAGATGGGAAAAGTTTGATGTCGGTATCAGGGAGCCCATGAAGGTTATATATGAAAAAACCGAAGTGTGGAGCTGTGGAATGGAGCAGGGTCCATACGAAAATGAACAAAACAAGAATGGCTCGAGTATGAGCGCTTGAGCCAGGAACCGTAGACAACAAGCTCCTTCCCACCAGAGATACGAAACCACGTGCCCAATGCCAAATTTCATACTCAGCCCAAACTTTATCCCTCCACAGCATAAAATATTTGTAAACAATCATCCCCAGTGAGAATCGACAATATTTAGGTAGATACACATAGATAGATAGCTAAAAAGATAATACCTATGAAAAATATCGATACCGTTTGACGTGTTTTGACAAATGAGACTTTTCGAGATGAAAAAAGATAGAGATCGAAACGAACATTTAGCGCTTCAATACAATTCTCGTTGGCTTTAGATCACTTTTAGATGCATATATGCGCTGAAAATGTTCCATTTGGGAGGTATCTAATGCCATTGAATGATGTATCTATAGGTATCGCTATGGTTAGGTAGTGGTATCGCTGCACCCATGCCCGCCTCCGCCCTGCCCACTATCCTGATGCCAATGCTATCATGCACACACACCGGGATCCCGCCGCTAGTCATCGCGCTCATTCCCACTGTCCTTGCCTTGGAGCATCGAAGAAGAGCTGATCTGTAGTAGTAGAAGAACCCAGTTAGTACAGTGGCCTGTAGAACCAGTAAGCATGATGACACTCACCTGCGCTGTGGCCTTTCATTTGTATTCCTAGTGTACTGCATTAGCGCGGGAGGTTTTCGCTGACGTGGCACGTACCTCCTTGATACTGGTAGACAGGTTTCACAGGCAGAAAGAAATGCAAATTCTTGCCAAGACAGAGCCTCTGTGTGACATCGAGTTGAGCGAAAGCGGCTCGTCGTGCATGAGAAAGGCCGACTTAAAGGGTTCATCAAATTCTTGTGTCCTGTGACACGTGAGATGGAGCCAAGTATTGTCTCGCAATGCGCGCAATGCTCTCGATTTGGTGGCATCAACACTTGTTATCTTGGAGAAGGAAACAGTGGGGAGGGGGCAAACATCTTCACACCAATTCCAGCTCAGGCTCCACAGCATCCAACGTGAACGAGGCACCAGCTGAGCAATCCTGGCCAATGGCAATGAAGGGAAACAACGGGGACTTGTCATGACTTGCACGAGCCTTGATCAGCATGGTAATGGATGGCGTGTATGAAGAGATATACCGCTGTGAAGTGGACTTTCCCATGGCCCGGGCAAACAACGACTTCCCACAACTCTCTCAAAGCTTTGGAGGATTATTGAGGTGGGAGCTGAGATCTATGAATCTCTTCATCATGAACTGGAGCACGGCGCTTGAATGGCACAATACATCTTGAATTAGCACCATGGTTGTACATCTCGATAGCATGACGGACATCACCACTACGAAGAGCACATGATGCAGCATCAACGGCAAGTGTACTTGGGAGGCTTAGTAGTAACTTGAAATGCAAGGGAATGATTGTATCAAGCCAGACGGTCATGGCGGGACAAACTTTGACATGGTGAGCGGATGAGAAGATGCACATGGTTCAACCAGTGCACTGACTCATAATAAATATAACACACATACATGGCTAAATGTCTGCATATGCAAAGTTTGTACAAAGTTTGCCGAAAGTTCATTGCACAGTTGCAAACTATGCGATCGAAGTCTGACAATGTTTGCATTTTTTTCCTTTGCAAAGATTCTTTGTGTTTTGCACAAAATTAGAGTTTTGCTGTCTCGAATTTCTTAGATTTGTATCTACCTCAATTTGTGGTTAGACATCTATCTACGTGTATCTACCTCATTCTTGTCGATTTTCACTGGGAATCATCAATCATCAGCGGCAGATCTGAAAGTGCGGGAGCATGTGAGTGTTACGCAAAGTGCCAGATCTACTAATCTAAAAATCCAACTTTATGAAAATGTAGTCTAAAACTCGTTGCAAGACTTTTGTGAGAGTTTCCGTTTTAGTCAGACTACAATTCAGTTCGTAAATACCTGGTTTTGGTTATGTGAGGACCCTGTTGAAGTCTTCCTTCGTCATCGTCGTCATTAGCCATAGCACTTTCCTTTTCATCTCATATCACGTGCATCAGCACATATAGTTGTTTCCGTTTCTCTCCTCGTACCTCAGTTGTTCCTTCCAGACACTGAGGTACGTTCGTTCTATACGTCTCGTTATCTCGCCATTCCTTACTCTAGATTCCTTAGCGCGTACCGCTAGGTAACATTAATATTAGTTGTTCCTTCCAGACACTGAGCGCGTACCGCTAGCTTCAACAGGTTATGAGCCCTGGTTTCTAAAATGAAACCATATCAAAGCTACAACTATCACGCGCCTAGTATAGGGCAACTTGCTATCTATCTACTTCACTACCTTCCTTTGACATGGGGAAGTTAGATCATATTCCAGAGCTCACGGGCCCTGACACTTATTTCGCCTGGAAATGCGAAATCACTTACGCACTCGGTATCGAAGACCAATGGTGCCATGTGACCGTCACTGTGAATCCTGACGATGTGTTAGGGAGCGCTTCTTATAAGCCAGTTCCTGTAGACCCTCTTGCCCAGACTGTCGATGAGAAGAAGGCCATTAGAGAATGGCTAATCAACGATCTTGAAGCAAAGTCTATCATCACTCGGTGACTTTTGCCCTCGGTCCAACAACTCATCTCCACGAGTCATAAGGTCTCTGCTCGCGACGCGTGGAAAATTCTAGAGGATCACTTTGGGCGGACGGACATGGGATCACAACACGTGGTTTGTCAGAGCTTATATGCTCTTCAAATGAAGGACGCGGCGGATGCTTCCAACTATGTTGGACAACATGCCATTCTTAGGGAGCGTCTACTGCGTATGGGAGCTGTCTATACTGATGTGGAAGCCATGTTTCAGCTCTTGCGTGGACTACCACGCTCAGGATCCTGGCTGCAATTCAAGGCTCTCTTGACAATCACCCTCCCCACAACCTCTGCTGCTCCTTCCACGACCACCTCTATGACCGGTACTGCCTCCACCACCACAACGACTTCACCATCATCATCCAGCGGCTTTGATGTCTGCGTCGCATGGATCTCAGCTGAAGCCGCTTGTGTTCTGGATGAGCGTGCACTTGCCGGCGGTTCCCTAGGATCAGAGTATGCCAATGCTGTGACATTGTCAACGTCGAGTGCAGGACATACCAATGTTAACCCAATCACGGGGTTGCGCAAACACCGTCATAATCTGGAGGGAATATTCTGCACCACGGTTGGCTGCAACAAGGGGGATCACGATCATGCCCACTGCTATGGAAAGGGCAGAGGTATGGAGGGACAAGCACCTTGGATGAAGACCAAAAAGAAAGAGACAGCTGCCGCTGCTGTTGTTCCTCCTCCCGCACCCACGCCGCAGACTCGGCCTCCTCCTACTACTATTGCCGCTTTCGCTGGCACAGAGACTGCAGCTAACAATTACCTGGCAGATCTTTCCTGTGCCTCGATCACTGAGGTTGGCGGCGACAATTCAGATGCAGCTGCCCTATCCTACCTCATGGCTTCGGGGTTCAACACTATTCTAGATTCCGGGACCACCACGACCCTCATTCGCAACCGCTCATATTTTTGGTCATACTCCACAGCTGACGCTGTCACCATTCACACAGCTAATCATGGGAGTTTGACCACCTCTGGTCGCGGTGACTGTGTCGCTATTCTCACAATCGGTGGGACTAGACATCGTGTGCGGCTCTCTAATTGCCTGCACGCCCCAATGGCCATGTTGAACCTGTTATCAGTAGGATGGATGTTGAGTAAGGGGTGGGACTGTGTTTTCAGAGCATCTCCTCCTCGTTGTGAACTCATTTACTGGGGAACAGACCTGGGAGCGATACCGATGGCTAACAATCTCTGTTATGTCAATCTAGAGTTTCTGCCGGCACCCTCTGCCGATGCAGCCTCAATACTCTCGTCCCCACCTGACATCAGTGCGTTCACTCACGTCACACCTAATCTCGACCTGTGGCACGCCCGCCTTGGACATATCGGAGGAAAAGCTGTACGATGTTTGCCTCTCTTTACGACGGGAGCAACAATCTCCCCCGACTTTCTTTTGTCCAAGTGCAAATCCTGTATCATGGGCAAACACCCACAACGTTCTCATCCTCCCTCTGACACTCCCCAAGCCTCCCGCTTCCTCAAGCTCGTCCACTCCGATCTCTGCAAACCAATTCTGGTCCTCACACCTCACAATAAATGCTATTTTATAATCTTCCTCGATGATCACACAAATGTCCTCAACCTCCAACTACTCGCCTCAAAGGATCAAGCCATTGATGCCTGGTGCCTAGTTCGTGCTCAATGGGAAAACCAGTCTGGATTGTGTGTGAAGGTTTTTTGTTCGGATAATGGGGGAGAATTCTTGAATGCAGCATTCTCTGCAGACCTCGAGAAAGCGGGGATCATCCGTCAACTTTCGGCTCCATACGCACATCAACAGAATGGTAAGGCAGAACGAGTTATTCGTACGATCAAGGGCAGAATGTACGCAATGCTCGATCATGCCCGCTTACCACGTTCTCTCTGGGGTGAAGCTGCTCTGTGTGCAGCCTACCTCTTCAATCACACAGAGTCTCGCGCACTTCCCCCAGGGAAAACTCCTTATGAAATGTTGCATAGTGCGAAGCCGGACATTTCACACCTGCGGGTGTTTGGCGCGAGATGCTTTGTCCGGATTCCCGTTGAACTACAGGAGAAGCTAGGACCTCGATCACGCGCAGCCATATTTATGGGTTATCCTCTGGGTGTCAAAGCATGGCACTGTCGAGACTCTACGACTGGGGCATTCTTCAACTCTTGCGATGTCATCTTCGATGAATCCTTCTCAAACCATGAGTTTCCCACCTCAGATAGCGACGATGAGGACGACACCAACAGGACAGCACCTCCTCCACCTGCTCCCATCGCAATACCTCCTCCGCCTACTCTTGTGGCTCCCAACTTGCCTCATGTTCCTCTTCTCCATGTACCTCCTGCAGCGCCCATCCCTCCCCCTCACGAATGTCATTCATCTAGGTCCCTCATTCTCACTGAACGGGGCCAGCTTTTTCATGAGAAACTTGCAGCTGATGCTGCTCGCCTAGAACGTCAACGCACCTTAAGGCAGGCACGCATTCATGGCACTCCACCGGAAGATGATGCAGTCCCAGTCCGTCCCATCCCACTTGTCACACGACCCTCTCTCCTTCCTGCACCCTCCCATCCTCTCGCTGAGCTTGATGAGCTTGATGAAGATGCCATACGTGCTGACACCGAATTCGTGGGATTCTCTCATGTTCTAGCTAATCTGATCACCACAGAGCATGCCCACCTCTCAATCTGTAGTGACACTCGTCGCAATCCGCAGGCTGCTAACTACGACATGAAGGTTCCTCCCAATACCTACGATGAAGCGATGCGTCATTCGGACCATGATTTCTGGCTTGCAGCCATGCAACAAGAGATGAATCTCATGTCTGAGATGCAAGTCTATGAGCTCGTCTCTCTCCCAGACGATCGTAAGGCCATTGGTTGCAGATGGGTGTTAGAGTTTCACGAGGATCAGAAAGGGGGATCCGTCTATAAAGCTCGACTAGTAACTCAGGGCTTTTCACAGGTGCCAGGGATCGATTTTGGGAAGACATTCATGCCTGTCGCCAAAGCGGCCTCAATTCGCGTACTCTCAGCCCTTGCTGCCCTTAACAATTGGGAACTCGACGTGTTTGATGCGAAGAGGGCGTTCCTGTGGGGGAAATTGATGGAGGATGTCTATATGCGACAACCCCCTGGATTCGAACGCTTCGAGCCCGGCATCAGCCTCCTTGTCTGCCACCTGCTATCATCATTTTACGGACTCAAACAGGCCACCTATGACTGGTATGAACTTTTGCGTGAAGTTCTGACTCGGTTGGGTTTCCTTCGTATTGAGGCTGACTATGCCATTTTCATCTATGATCATGTCAACGGAGAGGGGGAACACATCATTTGCATCATTGCCTGGCACGTTGACGATGGCCTCGCAGCAGCAAGCAATCATCCATTCCTCATGTGGATTAAGGGTCAGATAGCTCAACAGTTCGGTATCACAGATCTCGGTCCGGTATCCAAGCAGCTTGGCATTCAATTTGAGCGCAATCACACTACCTGCGAACTGTGGATGCATCAGACCGATTATATCGCCTACCTCCTCGACGAACATGCTATGACTGGCTGCAACTCGGTGACCCTCTCCATGGACTCACACTTTCCATTTGGACATGATACTGACGTGCATCCTCACGTCAAGAATCTTCTCTCCAAGTATCGCAAACTCGTCGGGGAATTGCTCTACCTTGCGATGTACACACGCCCTGACATCGCCATTGCCGTCATGAAGCTGGCCCAACACAACAGCTGTCCAGAACCCCGCCACTATGCTGCGGCCAAGCACGTCCTTTGTTTCCTAGCTGGTACCATCAGCCTACGTGCTCACTATGGGGGTGCAACAGCAGTTCCTGAACTCTACAGATTCAGCGACTCTGATTGGGCCAGTACTCCTGAAGATCGTATCTCCATCTCAGGGTACATCTGGTTCTTCAATGGAAGACCCATATCCCACTCGTCAAAGAAGCAATTAACCCATGCGCTATCCTCGACTGAGGCTGAATATATGGCTCTCATGGCAGTGATTCAAGATGGCCTTTGGCTTGCATCCTTCTTCGAATGTCTGCGTATCCTGCTCTCCCTTCCTCTTCCGCTCTTCGCTGACAACGCCGGGGCCATTGCTCTCTCAGAAGAAGCCGCTAATCACAGTCGTACCAAACACATCGACCTTTGTTTCCATTTCATTCGCATGCATATCAAAGACAGCACATTCAAACCAGAGTGGTTGTCCACTCACAAAAATGTCACCGACATCTTTACCAAGTGTCTTCCCCGTCCTCTCTTCCTTCGTCATCAAACAGGACTCTCTCTCGTGTCGCAATGATTGCAACAACATGTTGTTGTGGGGGTGTGTTGAAGTCTTCCTTTGTCATCGTCGTCATTAGCCATAGCACTTTCCTTTTTGTCTCATATCACATGCATCAGCACATATAGTTGTTTCTGTTTCTCTCCTCATACCTCAGTTGTTCCTTCCAGACACTGAGGTACGTTCGTTCTATATGTCTCGTTATCTCGCCGTTTCTTACTCTAGATTCCTTAGCGCGTACCGCTAGTTAACATTAATATTAGTTGTTCCTTCCAGACACTGAGCGTGTACTGCTAGCTTCAACAGACCCTGACTTAAGTTTCACAAAATTTAGTACAAGATTAGTATGAGATTTGAAGACAATGTGATATTATCAATGCAATGCAAGATTATCAGTGTGATAAATGCGTGATCTAGTAGTACAAAGATTCAAACCATTTGAAACCAGCATAAAATGTATCTACGAGGACAGTGCTTGCGTCAGTCCAACCAGCAACACATACTGCAAAAACCTATGAAATTCTGCCTTCTCGTCGTCCATCAAGTCATCCATCGCTTTCACAATAGCGAGAAACTTCCGGTTGCCTGACATCCCCCCGAAGGGATCCATCTGCACGTGAATCTCATATTGCTCATCCAAGCTGCAGAAAGTAGCAGTGCTGGAGAGTGCCCATATATATTTCATCCTTTCCAGTTGTTCTTCCTCTGTCTTGCTGAGGAATTCTTGGTGCAAGCTGAACCAAACAAATCGAATGACATTGGCCATTATAAACGAATTCTGGAATTTTGCCTTGATTTGGATTCTACCGTCCTGAAAAGATGAAGTTCAGTCTTCAACAACAGGTAAAAACAAAATTGTACCTGGTCGAATGTGTAAATGTGCATGAACGTGAGTCTGTTGCCCTCCATCGCGATCTTGTCAACCACTCGTTTACGATAGATGACAGGGGGCATGGTACTGTGTAATGGGGGAAACAGTCAATACGCATGGAAGGCGCCCATACGCGCAAACTCGACTACTTTCCCACGGGTCACTGACAACGTGTTTGTGACCTCACCCTGACGTTTACTGGTGATAAAGTTTGTGACCATTGCTAAAAGAATGTGTAAGTACGATGCTAACAATCCACCATAAAACTTACTGTTAGGACCGAAGCATTGCAGCAACGAGTCCCAAATAACCATTGTTAGCATAGCTTTTTTCAGGGCTTTGTTGATGGTCATCGCATTCAGGCTAAATAGTTCACGCGTGACAAGTTTCATCGCGCCCTTCATCGTCTGGTTAATGGTGGCATCAGAGACTATTATAGTGGGTATAGTGGGAGTGGGATCAGTATGTGTTGACGACGTCACAATCTGCGACATTGAGCTTTCGATTGCGGATGGGATCTGTGGGTGGGTTGTTGGGTAGGGAGCCATCTGTGGTGTTGGTGGCATCGGCTGTTGACTCCCTCGTTTCTTTGCGAGTCTTGCTGGGCCCGCCATCTAGATGAAAGGAATAGTATGAGTATTAAATAGATCCAAGAATAAATAACTTACATGCATGACGTCTGTGTGAGGGATCTCGCCTCATTGAATGAGCATTGTGTCCGACATACTCGTGCTAGCTGTGCTACCTGTAGCACCCTGGAATGAGTAGTGTTCATTGGGATATGAGCCCTGTGGGGGCGCTTCAAAGGACGGTTGATTCTGAAAGAAGTCCCAGGAGGATTGATTGTTGAAGCTGGGGCTCTGTGTGCCACTGTAAGAATGGCCATGTTGGGCTGTAGAATGTTGAGCTTTGAGTGACAAAAAAAACATGAGGAACTTACGGGTGGTCTCGAAGCCGGTGCTCTGCGTGCCCCTGTAAGAATGGCCATGTTGGGCTGTAGAACATTGAGCTTTGAGTGATGAAAAACATAAGGAACTTATGGGTGGTCTCATGTGCATCGAAACTGAAATAAGACATCTGCGGTTGTTCTGTAGGAATGCGAAGCTGATCAATTGCTGGTTCACCTGAAGGATTGAGGCCAGAGCCTCGTGGTGGTTTGGGGACTTTGGCTTTACTTTTGCGCTGGGGACCACATTGCGAATTAATGTAATAGTACATATGAGGGTACTTTACACGATCTTTACAAAACTGGGAATGTGTGGCAGGCTGATAAGGTGATTTACGAACAAGGCAAAACATTTACTACCAAAGAAAAAGAGGGTAGGGGCGTGGCATGATAAGATGATCTATGAACAGGAGAAAAAGATTTATGAATGGCCGGGGCAGGCGAAGCACCATATCAAACAGTTGAAGCGTGTTTATGAACGGTCGAAGCCAGTTATGAGCAGGCAAGAAACGGGCGAAGCAAAGTGGCACCAGTTAATAGCAATCTATGAACAGTGACACAAATCAATTGATTGTCACTGATATCGATCAGTGTGAGCAGCGTGAATGAGTTGGCAGTCACATACCACATGGGCAGTCACAACTGCATGCCGAACGGGCGCTGCGGGCCCAGCTGCCCGCCATGATCAGAATCAGAATCAGAATCAGAGTCTGTATCAGTACCAGTGTCCATGCAACCACCCCCCAGTGCATGTGTAATGCTGTCCCTATTTTTCAAAGTACCAAAAAACGAGGTAGGTAGGGACCCTCGCCGGTAGATGCCAGTAATTCATGCCTGGCACCTGGACCCAGGCATCTTGAGACCAAGTCTGCTTGGGTAGTGATGGCGTAAAGCATTTCGCACTCATTGTCATAGACAGCTTGAGGGTAATTTGTGTTGTCATCAATTTCTGCGCGATGGCGCTCAGAAAAGAAATTTCTGATCTTCTTCAGCTGTTCATTCTTGATATTGAGGTGGGCTCTGTTCTCCTTGTGGAGTGCCTGATTTAAGGCTGTCATACACTCTGTGCACTCAACCTGCCATAGGGATGTTGCCACTTGAAGGTGAGTAACCTCGCGGCTAGCAAGTACTGCCTTAAAGGCTTTGTACAACGTGTCAACATTCATCTGTGAGAGGCCATTAGATATCACATCCTTGTGCTTTTAAATGTATCATGTAAGAATGGTTTGGAACAAAGAAAATGACAAATACCTCTTGAAGTTGTTCAGTGGTAAAGTCTGGTTCATGTCCTCGTCCTGTGATGAGGGTTGTCAAATGAATATTGAGTGGAAGTTGCCTAGAAGGGTATGGAATAGGCCTCTTGGATGATCTCTCACGCAAGTATGCTGCCCGGGAAGGTGACTTTGGCAATTATAAGAGGTCAGGCTTATACAATAAGCTCTCCTTTACATCGGGAAGGTATGGGATCTCTTCCACTGGGGATAGGTAAACCTTTGGGGAACCTGAAAGGGAGGGGGATAGCTTGGGAGAAAATGAACGGTCAGAGCCAGATAAGAGCTCAGTAGCCATTGTATGGGGTGACTCAGGGTAGTTGACCTTCTTAAAGAATTTCAAGGGAGTTAATTCAACATGTGTTGCACTACTTGATGTAGTACTGGTAAAAGCAGGACTGCTTGGTCGAGGAGGAGATGAGACTGGTGATGAAGATGCAAACTCCATTGGCTCAGCGCGATGACTGTGCACTGTGAGATGTGAGGTCCTCAGAGTTTGAATTTCAGCCTTGTGCAATCCTGCAAGTCTGCCAACATCTAGCACACTTGAGTCAAAGCCAAGTCTACACTATAATGTAAGTACTTCCATTGCTCACTTCATGATACCACACATACCTTTGGCAGGCTATGTCCCAACTGCAAATTTGGGGAATATTCATCCATTGAGGCACTTATTTCACATCTCAATGCTCCGTCTACTTGCTGGCCTTCTGATACACAACCACAAGCTTTACCTGTCCCTTCTATATTCAATCAAGGTGGTCAGACACCCGTCACTGGTACCTGCCACCCACAATCTGGATATGTCTATGGGATCGGTAAATATATGCTGGATAAGTTGGAAGATAATCAATTTGTGAATTGGCAGTTGATAAATGCCTATTACCCTTTCACTGACCAAGGTGAATGGGAATTAGGGAAATTCTTGGTCAAAAACCTTACCTGAACCCAAATTACGAAGTTCTTGAAGTTGAAATGGGTAATGAGGAACAACGATCTAAGCTGTACTCCCAACTATGATCTTGATTTCACAGTTTGACGCTCCAAATCGTGCAAGACCATTTTTTACCATGAAGGATCACCTCCTAGACTGGATGGACTCGCTCCCTTCTTTTACCCCATGGAAAGTCTCCAAGTTAGAGTTCAAAGGCTATAAGACTGTCCATCCTGTGGAGCTTGTTTGGTGTGATGCACTGCAGGTCGTCCAGCAACTCTTTAGCAACCCAACATTTGCTAACCACATGACCTTTAACCCCTATGTCGCCAACATCAAAAATCAGCGCGAATATGGGGATTACATGAGTGCCAATATGGCATGGAAAATCCAGGTTTTTTGCCCTGTTAATCTACGCCTCACTGAGTAATAGACTGATTTCTTTATTTCTAGGACTATCTCCCATTGGGTACGACTCAAGTCCCAATTATCTTGGGATCAGATAAAACTCCTGTGACGCGACTTGCCGGGGGAATCAAGATGCACCCGGTCTTCGTCACCATTGGTAATATTGATTCTGAGGTCCATTCCAAGGCAACATTATGAGCTTGGCGCTGTGTAGCCTACATTCCAGTTGTAAAGTTCCGCGTTCATCAAGAACACCAGTCCATTCTCCAGGCCAGACTATGGCATAAATGCATGGACCTTGTTTTTGCAAACCTCAAGGTCACAGCAAATGACAACTGTTTTATGCCCGATCCCTCCTGCTACATTTGTCATGTATTCATGCCACTTGTTGCTCATGTGTGCGACCTGCCAGAGGCTACTATGATTGCTGCAGTCAGTAAAAACTTGTCCCTGCTAACCATGGCAATACAAGCAGATTTCTGTGATGGAATTCTTCACCCCCCTCATACCGGGAACCACACATTGGAACTCATTGTGGGGATATCCCAAAATGTTGATCCCTGGGATCTGGACAAGTTCCAGAAAGCAGCCAAAGCCGTCAATTTGTCTGGTGTTCACATGCCGTACTGGTGTGATTGGAAGTTTGCATGTCTGTCGGTCTTCCTTGCTGGCGAGGTGCTGCACACCTGTCATAAGTTTTTTGCAGATCATCCGCTAAAATGGATCAAAAAGGCTCTAGGAGATTCTGAGCTCGATACTCGCTTCATGGTCCAGTATAAGTGGGTCAGAACGCGCCATTTCATGAAAGGCATCACGCATGTTAATCAAATGACAGGCCGGGAGCATAGAGACATCCAATGCACTATCATTGCGTCAATTGCAGGGGCCGTTCCACACAGATTCGTCTGTGCAATCCGTTCACTCGTGGACTTCTTTTACCTCGCACAGAATCCAGTTCACTCACCTCAATCTCTTCAGTCATTGGTGCAGGCGCTTTCAGATTTCCACTCTTTCAAGGATGCTATCGTCCAGGCTGAGGCAAGGAAGAGGAAGAAGGGTATCAAAGAAGATTTTTTCATCCCGAAACTTGAGCTTCTCCAAAGCTTTGATGGTACAATTAGGAAATTGGGGACTTTGATGCAGTTCTCTGCAGATGTGACAGAGTGGTTGCTCATCACATATTGTAAGAACCTTTTCCCGTGGACGTCCCGGCAAATCAAGGATTTTACGGAGCAATTTGTGTGCATTCTCAACCGCCAAGAGTCTATGGAAAATTTTGACCTGTACATGCTATTGACTTCTCGTGGGGCGTCACTGGTTAATGCCATACACGCCGAAGATGAAGATGTCACTATTGCCAATCCTGCACTCTCCTGGGTTTCCTGAGTTCTCCCTGATGAAGTCAAGTCAATTCATGGTCCCCAAACTGTCTGTAATCACTTTTTCAAGGGTATCCTCTCTGGAGATGCACTCACCGCTTTTCAACTCAATGTCACGCTTGATTACAAATTGCTGTCACCGTTTGACATACGCACGAAATATGCACTCCTGGACTTCAATCATGTGCTCGCTGACTTCATTTGTCGTTCATCCCTTGCCAGTGGTGAACAGTCCTGCTTGGACCCCGAATCCGGACACTTCCATGTATGGCACAAGTTCAGATTGCAGCTTCACTCAGCCTTCCAGCCACGCATCATCATGCCGAGCCAAGTGGTGCAAGCATACCCTCCAAGTAATAATTTTCCCTTGGGAAATTGTGATACTGTTATCATTGATGCTATGGGTATTGACGGCAAAACGAGCAAGTCTATTCCATGTACTTATGTTCTAATCTACTAATGTCATATACAGCGAATTACGTTGCACAAGTGTGACTCATTTTTCAACTGACAGTCTGACGAGGTTCCAAGTTGGAACTGCCATCTTATCTCTCTGACCCACTTCTCTATGTCCAATTTTTCCGCTTTATTTCTAGTCCTGATGATCGCCCCGAACTCGCAATGTGGACTCTCGAGCGCACGTACATGCAGGATGAAAACAGTAACCGCCATAGGGAGGGGGCTGTCATATGAGTGACACATGTGACACATGCAGTTGAATTGATACCAGTTTATGGTGAGGCAGTGGCTAACAGCGTGTCCTCTGCGCCTTGCTTGGAAAGCTACAAGCGTTTCTTTTTGAATAACTTCACAGACAAGGAGAGTTATCACACATTCAGTACCGCATTTGTGTAGACAGTAGCTTAATCAGCACGCATCAATTGTATCCATTGCTATAATATCACAAATCACATCTTATCAATGGAAAAACAACTGGCTTGAGTTTTATCAGCCAGATATGGTGTGTGTAAGGACTACTGAGCGGTTGACGCCGGAAATAGCCGAAGTAACGCTCACCTCTACCATCACCATCGAAAACTTCAGCACAGACCTCGTCATCATCCTATCCTTGTTCCCCATCAATGCCTCGTATAATCGACCCTTATTATTCTCGTCTCCGTTATCCTGCTCGCAGCCGAACCGCCGAAAACTGTCAAACCCATGCGCACTCTCATTATCCTGTCAAACCATACCCATTCATACCTCCGTTTGCTCATTTTCGTACTCTTTCGCGCTACATCTACTCTACCTTCTCAGACGCGACGATTCTACCTTCGGACTCCGTTTTTCGCATTTAATTTCGGCCTAGCCATCGATAAGGACCCTTACTATTCTAAAGTATAAGTAGCCCATGTACAGTCCATACTGACAGGCAATCATACCCAGTCTCGAAGTCTCACTCTCGCATTCATTGATATAACTATAACTAACGTCTCAAAAAAAAACCATCACATTCCTTATTGTCTAACATTCGCTGATAGCTATCTACTCTTTAGCGCTCGTATATCCTCCAGCGGTCTCCACACCCCTTCGCACTCGCGAGTCGTACACTGACTTACATATTGGAGCCCACCGCGAGGGGTGTGTTCCAGATCTCTTGACCTACCCTAGCGCATCCCACTCTCCCTCACCATCCACGCTGGCTCACGCTACAGACGACCACGCTGTTGCAGGCCCCTCGACTCCTCAACCAGAACCAGTAACACCACTGAATCCTATTCCCCGTCCAATCCGCCCCAGAAAATCAGACGACTCAGACGAGGCCGACGACGAGGATGAGAATCCGTTCGCGCCGAACAACCATAGATCATCACGTCCCGCTGTCGCAACGTCATCACAACAACCTTCATTCACATTCCAGCACCCACAACCGTTCATTTTGAGACCAGCCGTCTTCACTAACACTCAAGCTCGAGCCACGACCCAGCCAACCGCCATCATGTCCCACGCGCATTGAGGCATAGGTGCTATGCCTGGCCCTAACTCTAGTAAAGCGCCGCTCTTCAATGGCGAAACGTCGGAGTTGTTAGATTTTTTCGAGTTATTTGAAGATCTCGCGTCTACCTATGGTCTAACCAGCGCTGACAAATGTAAATGTCTAGTGCGATACGTGGATCTTCCGACCAAGCGTTTCTGGATAATGCTCACGGGTTTCGAGAGTCGGGAGTACAGCACCTTTAAGAGGAGCATCCTAGGCCACTATCCAGGTGCCAGCAAGGGTCAGCGTTATACGGTTCGAGAGCTCGAGCGCATCGTCGTCAATCAAGCTGATAGTGACATCAACACGGAGAAAGAGCTTATGCAGTACTACAGTCAGTTTCGAGCTGTCGCTGTCTGGCTGGTCACCAACAGCAAGATCTCTGCACGAGACCGTGATAAGTACTTCTGGCAGGGGTTACCCGTTCGTGCTCGTCGTCAAATCCTTCAACGACTTGAGCTCAAGGATCCAGATTTTAATCGCAACGAGCCAGCTCATTTTGAGAAGGTCGTTGAAGCAGGCCGTCATGTTTTCTCGGACGAGGCATTTGATGCTGAATTCAACGATCCCATCACCCTTCGCATTCAGTCCATTCGTCGCACTACCCCAGCTCCTACCAACAATCGTCGAGCCCAAGATCATCACATATATGACTCGGACGATGATGATGAACCTCGTAATGCTCCGCGAGAAGTTCAAACGAAGACCGTGCGCTTCACATCCCCTCAAGTACCTGTTCAAGCTGCGCAAAAGTCCACTATGGATGAGGTCGATGCACTCGCTAGACAGATGCATAGTCTCGATATCGGGGACGTTAATTATTCATCATGTTATACACGGCTCATTTGGATAGCTCCTGCTGCTGCTAATGCCTGGGCTGCTCCTAGAACTCGACAACTCTGCAATAACGTGTCTGTAACCACTCCAGTACCTGCCAGTACTCCGCGTGCCCCCATACAGTGCGCATTCTGTGGACAATCTCATTATCTTCGTGTTTGCCCCACAGCAGCAGAATATCTTCGCACTGGGCGCATCATCCGCGAAGATCTCTTCCTTCTCAATGCAGACAGATCACGCATCCAACGACAAGGTCTCGAGAACTTGCAGCAAGCTGTGGATAGACATGCCAAGACCATCACTTCATCTGCTCCGTCTTCGAATCCTCCTCCCTCGACCATACCATCTAGCGCCTTTATATCCGAAAGCTACTTCCTTCAATGTATCCAAGTCGCAGAGAACCATGCCACAGTCACGACGATTGAAGATGACAACTCAGGTGCAGATGCTCTTGCTATCACTCGGTCGAAGGCGAAAAACGCGGTGCTTGATAATATAGATGCAGGACCGTCCCAGAAGAAGCTTAAGGAGGCTACTAGTACTTCGTCTGATACCCGGGCACAAAGTCAAACTCGTTCCATCGAAGATCTCATTCCTGATACTCCTGCAGTTCCCCCAAAGAAAACTCCTGCATACGTTTACGAGTCTAAAGCAGCCACTCCGGATGCAGCCTCTCGCATCTATCAAAACATGCTCAGCACTATCATTCCGAATATCACGGTTGCTGACCTTCTTGCAGTAAGCCCAGACCTTCGACGAGAAGCTGTAGAGCACTGCCGCACGCACCGGGTATCCACTCCGTCGTCCGCTAACACCCTTACCACTACTGCATCTGTTCCACCACCACAAATTGAGCATGCCACACCCCTTCGTGAGCTCAAAGTTATGCTTAATGGTGTCCACACGGAAATGGCATTGCTGGATGAAGGTTCGGAGCTCGTCATTATTTGAGAAGATGTTTGGAAGCAGACTCAAGCCCCAATCAACAAAAACATTCGCATGCACATGCAGACTGCGAACGGAAGCTCCCAGGACATGGCTGGATGTCTGGAGATGCTCGAGATCGATGTTGATGGTATCAAAACGTGGGCCCATGCCTATGTTATTGCTGATGCTCCATATCGTCTGCTTTTAGGACGTCCGTGGCAGCGGCTCGTTCGGTTGTCAAAGTCAGAAACAGCGGACATGGTCTATGTTACCATCCACGACCCTACAGACATCATGCGAGTTCGAACCTGTGCTACCCTTCCCCGTCCTCCACCTTCCTTAACTTCAGCCATGCTCTCTGCAGCAGCCTTCAGTAACTCGTTATCGGCCGAAAGTCCACCTCCTGCAGTTGCGCACCTAACAGCCAGCCCTCTTGCTGAATGTTTGTTACAGGAATCGTTCAACTTTGACCCTGTACGACGAGTCCTCACCTATAAAAGGGTGGCCAATCGAGTCAAGCCTGTCGCAACCACCATGCCAGCTCATGCTCGTATTGTTTGACGTTTTCCTGAAGAACCCCTCCTATCCCTTCCCACAGTCTCTCCCAATCCTCCTGACTTCGTATCGAGCACTCGACTCACTACAGACCGTGTGAATGATCTTGGAATTTTTCAGAACTCCTTTTTATGGCCCGAAGAGCAGAAACTAGTAGCGCACATTCTATCTCTCAATGAGTTGGCCTTAGCATGGGACGAGACCGAGAAAGGGAGATTTCGAGACGATTATTTCCCGCCCGTCGTAATTCCCACTATAGAACACACTCCCTGGGTCCATCGGCAGCCACCCATCCCTCCAGGGATCCGTGATGAAGTCATTGCCCTCATTAAGTCGAAAATCGCGTCTGGGATCTATGAACCGTCCAATAGCTCCTACCAGTCAAGCTGGTTCTGCGTTGCGAAGAAAAACGGCTCAATTCACATAGTTCACAACCTTCAGCCACTCAATGCGGTCACAGTCAAAGACGCAGCCACCCTCCCTTATGTCGAACTATTCGCAGAACAATCAGCTGGACGTTCAATTTATACTATGATGGACTTGTTTGTTGGTTTCGATCACCGAGCCCTAGCTGAAGAATCCCGCGACCTCACCACCTTCCAAACCCCACTCGGAACATTTCGACTCACAGCGCTACCTATGGGTTGGACAGATTCTCCCGCAGTCTTCCAAAATGATGTCGCATTCATCCTTCAGCATGAAACCGACATAGCCCCCAATTTTCAGGATGATGTCAACGTTCTTGGACCTCGGACGCGATATGAACTCTCAGATGGTACATTTGAAACCATTTCCCAAAACACCGGCATACGACGATTTGTTTGGGAACACTGCTTAGACGTCAATAGAGTTTTACATCGTCTCAAGCATGCGGGAGCCACAGTGTCAGCTAAGAAGCTCTTCATTTGCGTCCCCAAGGTTCTTGTCGTTGGACAGTGTTGCACTTATGAAGGACGTATCCCAGATGACTCAAAGATTGTCAAAATCAAGAACTGGCCCCCATGCACGACACATTCTGAAGTTCGTGGGTTCCTTGGCACTGCGGGCACCGTGCGCAACTGGATTAAAAACTATGCCTTCATCGCATGACCGCTTACCAATCTCACTCGCAACATCGTACCTTTCGTTTGGGATGAAAATGCACAAACTGCCATGGACACCCTCAAGCACGCTGTCATTGACTCTCCTGCCATTCGACCAATCGATTATCATAGCCCTAATCCTGTCATTCTTGCCGTCGACTCTTCCCATATTGCCTGTGGATGGATCTTGCTTCAGATCGACAATGAAAATCGTCGTCGACCCTCTCGTTTCGGCTCAATTACTTGGAATGATCGAGAATCGCGCTATTCTCAGGCAAAAATCGAACTTTATGGCTTACTCCGTGCACTCAAGGCTACTAAAGTCTGGACCATAGGAATCAAGAATTTCATTGTCGAAGTCGATGCCAAATATATCAAAGGCATGCTCAACAACCCTGATATTCAACCTAACGCAGCCGTCAATCGCTGGATCGCGGGAATCTTACTATTTGACTTCTCGCTCAAACACGTTCCAG